AGTATTAATGAAAACTACTACACGTTTTAGAAAAACAACATTTAGACTTTTAATTGCTGAGGAATGGTGTGGTAGTGTTTGTTTGCAGCTGAATTGTTTTATATTTTTTTTCTCATTTTTCCGGTTTGCATCTTCAATTCAAATTAACATTTATTTTCCTTCCTTCTTTAAAAAAGAATAATATACTGTACAGTAAAATTAAGGTTCAAAATCAATAAATATAACAATTAAAATAAACATAAGTTAAAAGGATAACACAACACAGCTTTACAGTAGATCAAATGCTACTGTACAGTAAGGTATTTCATCACTACTATGGTAAGAATAGTTTTTTAAAAAAAGTAAAAAGCGGAAGATAATGGTGGGTGTAATATTTTGTTAATCTAAAATGTATAATTTTTGCTTTTTTAGTTCAACTTTCATTTTGACCAATTAACTCTTCCTTTCTTGCATTTGACTGATTTTAATATTTGAGATTTTCCAGGTCAAGTCTTGATAATAGTCTTACAGATTTCAAAATCTCTAATAATGAATGTGCAGTAGGGTGACTAGTTAATAATAATAGCATTTTTAACTCTTTAACCTTTGACAGATCAAGTACTGTAGATCCTTTTGTATGCACTATTCAAAATAATTATTTAGCTAAAAAGAATATTTGAGTTCAAGTTGGCAGATGCAGTATAACAATAATACTGTTGTAGAGGCAGCATGAAACAGATACTGGTTAAAATATGTCTGATAGCCCATCATTCCAATTTTTTTTTTTTCTAATTATTGATTCTCTCTCCGACGTTATGTGGCAATTGGTATCAACCATGCATAGAAAAACTGTTAATTTGTGACCACAGAAATGTTTTCTTTAATTGGGTAAAGGTGGTCTTTAATTGGAGTGGTCTTTAATTAGAGGGCGACGTGTAGTTCTCCTGAAAGCGGCTTCTTCCAATTTAGGGCTGCTGCGCTTCAATTCATAGTAGACCATGCCCAAATAATTCCTAGTCATGCTTCATTCATCCAATAGAAAGCTCAATATTAAAAAAAAAAAAAAAAAGAATATTTGGTCAGTAACATTGGATCATGAAACAAATTGGGAACATATTTTAATGACATTTCTGCTGATTTCATATTATACAGTATAATAAATGAATTGTACTTGCATTGCAAATTATTGTAATAAAGTTCTAATTCTACTGTAAACTAATTATGTCAATAAAAATGAAATTATAAAGAAAGTATGTCATCTTGAAAATATTCTAAAAACCCCTATTAAGGGGAAAGTTGTACATTTTTGGTTAGTTTTTTTGGTCCCGAAGTTGTCCCCTTAATAGGGCTACAGTGGTAGTAGTTGTTTAGGAAAAAAACACAACACCTGTATCGCAATATACAGGTAAACACATTTTTTGGTCATTGCACATGATGAGAAATGTAGTTTGAACTTTCAAACTTTCATTATTAAATGATGATATCAAATAGTAAAATAATCTTTGATATAAATTGTCATGTTATCAGAAAGATACCGGATTCCTATTTCAGGGGCGTACCGTGGGGGGGTCGATGGGTGCGGTCGACCCCCCCTTTTAAAGAAAGTGCCCTTTTTTAAATATGATTTTTTTTTTAAATCTAGCATAAATAAACTGCGCCTAACATGAAGGTAGTTAATATCAAAATAAATTATCCTTCGCCTAAAAAATGTTTGGTTGCCCTTCCTTTTAATATTTTGATTTTTTGTCTTTTTTTTAAACAATCCATATAAAGTTATACATTTTTAATCAACTTGATATCTTGAAGCCCGCGCGCCAGTGGAGTTGTGTTATGTGGTTACGCATCATTGCACTCTGCCATTATTATCTGTAGCTGCGTGTTTTCCGTGCAGCAAAATAATCTATTCGCGCGCAACGCAAAACCGAAGGCAATGTAATTATTTGATGAGAGCAAATTTTTCGCGTGAGGTAGTTGAATACTGTATTATTTTTTCGGAATATAAAAATGCCAAATAAAGAGAGAAGAAGAAAAATAAAAGAAAAGGAACTCAGAGAAGACGCAAAACGATGCAGGACGCATCGGAAATTAATGATAACAATTTGATCTTTAAATAAAGAGCTATTTATTTTTTTATGTAAATATTAGGTAAGTTAAATTACCTTTAGTATTGAAAGCGTAGTTTAATTATTAGTTATTGAGAAAAACGATGAAGAAAAACTAAGTTAAAGAAATATATTAAAATATAAAATTGAAAGGAAAATGATGAAGAAAAACTAAGTTAAAGAATTACGGTATATTAAAATATAAAATTGAAAGGAAAACGTTAAGAAATAAACGCATACAAAATGTTACTTTAAGTAATTATATGTTCCCTATATCATTGTTTATTTTTCAATACAGTATATACATTTATAACTTTACTTTTAAAAAAAATAAAAAGTGGGACGATCCCACGAAAAAGAAAAAAAAACCCTTTTTTTTTTAATTCTTTAATCTGAAATGCTCACAAGCCCGTATTCAGGAGTTCCGCAATCCAATAGGCTG